GACCCGAGTCTCCTCCGGGCTTTAACATTGTGGGTGGCAAACACACACATGCTCACACACAAGCCTCGTTGAAGACGTTGGAAAACTCTCAGAGGGTTAATCCAACGAAACACTGAATTTACAGTCAGATTAACAGCCTTCCAGAAAGCAATTCCATCCCTCCAACAGCTACCACGAAAACAAAAAAGAAACACTCAACTATGGTGGGCAGCAGAAACGATAAAACTCTTAGTCGCTCCATTTACACCGGAATGTATCTAAAGCCACAATTTAATGTATCCACTGTAATCGCAGCAGATCTGCTTTAAACTGTTACAATGAGGAAATCTGATTCAAAGACCCCTTGGTATTCCAGCAGGTTGCAAAGGTGCAAATTTTGATCACGTGACCACCATTAAAGACACGTAAAGAGTGCACAACACAGGTGACCCCCCCCCCCCCCCCCCCACCAAAAAACCCAAACAATTTATGAAAAAACTGACAGAGAAATGATCTTTCCACATCCCTGCTTCTAAAAGAGGCATTTTCTTCAGCACAGGCACTTTTACTCATTTTCTTCCAATTATTTCTTTTTGTTCAGCTGGCTTTGAAAAATGGATTTAACCGTTTTTAAAAGAATAACACTAATATTAATAATAAAGCGCCAATAAAAAAAGCCCAACCATGCAACTGTAAAATACACTGGCACTAGTACATTTTACATTTGTTCACTAAAAACAGGTGCAGCAAACGTTCTGAAAACATTAAACAGTTTGTAATACCACTGCTAAAGTGTACGCAGCGATCAGCTGGCAGCTACAAAGCAGCGTCTCCCGTTAAGTCTTAATAGCACATGCACGGGACTTTAGTCTGTTTCAGAGGCTCGGCTAGTTTTGGCAGTCAGGGCTCTGATATTGGGAAATGATCTACTGAGGAAAGATCAGTGGAGTCACTGACATGATTTAAGCAGATTTAGTGGAGATAAAGTCATTGAGAGTTCAGCCATGTGCTCTGTTTGAACGGGAAAAACCTGCTAACATGTGCGTGGGCTTGATAAACCTTTTCCAGTAATATTTAGGGGTTTTCCTCTGAAATGAGTTTCTTTGCATCCCTAAAATGTTTGAAGCATAAATTAAAATAGATAAAATTACTCTGAAATGATTAGAAATAACATGATAAAGCACCGGCTTCTGTCAAATAAGGAAATAACCAATGCTGTCAGTGTACACGGAGCAACCATTGTCAAAGCCACGAGTACTTACTCCACCAAAGTTAAATTCTTAGCCAAGGTGATGGTAAGGCATCTGATCATTGCTACGTATCAAAGACTGAAATCTGACAGTCTAGTTATAAATCAACAACTGACGTCAGTAATTTGGTGCTAAATAACATTTTTGCTTAACTTTCTCACATCAATAAATAGTAATAAAGGTGAAATTATGACATATGTTAAAGTGCAGAATATTAAGGATTACTCTGGAAGTACAGCAGGATGGTGGTTCTGGTAAAAGACTGGAACTCAAAGACCTGCTACTGGGAACCAGACAGTCGACCTTTGTTTGAGTTTTCCAAACAAAAATCCTCTTTTCACTAAACTACTTACCTCAATTTCACCTCCATTTCTCTGCGGCTCTTTCCTCGAGACCATTTGCACCACCTCACTTTGGTTTTGCGTCTGACACATCAGCATGCTAACTAACAGCCAGCTGAAACAACTTTTTTTAAGCAGGCCAAAGTTTAAGGCTCTTTAGTCACTTCCTAAATTTATTAGGATACCAGCCTGTTTGAAAATTATGTGAATTGTGATACATTAAGGAAGTCGCAGATTTTTCTTCTCTCCACAGAATTAGCAGCACATTTCATCTTTGCGGTGGCCGTGACGGATGCAGCCAACGTCTTCAGAAAGTTAAATAAATCTGCCAAGACAGCAGCGTTATTCATGCAGCTGCTGTCATTCTACGAAAGCTTTAAATGATTCTAATGATGATGAATGGGAACTCCCTGCACGCAGATCCCTTTAGAAATGTTTTCTTTAGCTAATCTTATTTAATGGATCAACATCTCCTGCTGCAGCCAAATCACTTCAATCTGCACATCAGCAGGCGACTGACTGGAGGTTTAACTGTGGGGAGGTGATGGAGGAGAGAGGTAAACCCAGGAAGATGCTGTGTGGTCTGTCTTTAAAGGGATCCAGTTCATATTTGGGTAGAAGATTGATGAAAAAATTTACAGCTCAGATTTAAATACAAACTGTGTAAGTACATGAAATTGATTTGATTGGTATATTTGAATAAGGGAACCAAAGGAAACTTCTTCAGTCATCCATTCTCCGTATCAGTTCATCAGTGTTGTGCAACCAAGAGTTTGCAGTTCATTTCCAGTTTGAGAGCTTTGTGTTGTTTCACTTTTACTTTTGATTTCTTTATTACATTTTATCTGAAAGAGATGATGCATTTAACATAGTTTCAGTATAGAGCATAAAACCTACACAAACGGGGACGCAACCGATTCTAAAATGCTTAAATGCAGTCGCCCCAAAAACCCAACACCATGCAGCTCGACCTGGGTGTGTCGGATAAAAGCTGATTGGTTGAAAAGAGGGGCAGAACAGGAAAGAGAGGAACAGCAGAGTTTACAAATTGGGGGAAGTATGGGGAAAAAACAAAGCTAAAAATAAGTGTCAGCAGTAAACACGTTTCACGGTTTTTAAACACTCAGTTTCACTTCAGTGTGAAGTTCACTGTACTCTGCAGCAGGCTGAAGGAACAACAACACCACGATAAAAAAGCACACTGCAGCGAGTACACGGCTACAACACGCAACCTGCAAAGTAATCGTATGACGACCGCAGAACCCGTTCAAGATACTAGAAACAAGACTTTTCTCACTATGACATCACAGCTTCAACGCCAAAAAGCACCTTGTGAGTATCGCAGGGCGTCAAATCTGCGAGTAATAATAATAATGGATTGGATTTATATAGCGCTTTTCAAGGCACCCAAAGCGCTTTACAATACCACTATTCATTCACTCTCACATTCACACACTGGTGGAGGTAAGCTACAGTTGTAGCCACAGCTGCCCTGGGGCAGACTGACAGAAGCGAGGCTGCCATATCGCGCCATCGGCCCCTCTGGCCAACACCAGTAGGCGGTAGGGTAAAGTGTCTTGCCCAGGGACACAACGACCAGGACAGAGAGCCCAGGGATCGAACCGGCGACCTTCCGGTTACAGATGCGATTCCCAACCCCCTGAGCCACGGTCGCCCAAGTGAGAACAGACTGACCTTCCACTGAGCACAGTTGGTCTTAATCCTCTTTTCCACCAAAGTGGTGCTGTGACGGCAACTGTAGAAAACCAATCCACACGTTAAGGTCTGAGAATCAGCAGCATGCAGAGGTGGATTTCTTGTGGTCCGCCCTCCTGTGGCTACCAGTGTTGATGCTTCCAACAGTTTTGGCACAAACACTGATCTGAATGTTGTTGGCTGCAGATTAGGAACCAACACCAAAGTAAGAAGCATATTAAATTAAAGAGTGAGAAGACAGAGACTCTTCTTGTTGTAACTAAAAGTCTTTTTGTAAACAATTGGTTGGGTAATTCTCTTTGTATCATCAGTTCTCTGATCTCTCCTTCATCCCAGGTTAAGATGTCAGTCGAGTTTTCGATACCACCTTAAATTTTGAAACACATATCAATAATCACAGCCTGGATATTTCTGCTTATGTAATATCAGTCGGTTGTGTCCGTCCCTCACAGCTAGCAGTACTGCTATTCTTGTACATGTGCTGGTTACATCTTAGATTGATTATTGTAATTCTGTCCTCTCTGCTTTACTGCACAAAAGTCTCCATAGACTTCAAATTGTTCGAAACTGTTTATGCCATTTCTTGAACATATAACTGCTGTGCTCCAGCAGTTTGATTGGAAGCCTGCAAAATATTGCTTCATTTTAAGATTCTGCTTCTGATTTTGAAGCCTCTTCATTACCTCTGATGTGCACATCAGTATTCCCTCCTGTAGATCCTCCTATGTTACCCTCACTTTACCACGGGATTTAAAGATTTCACTTTTTTCTCTCTCTTGATTTGTATTGTTGACTTTGTAATTTTATGATGTATTGATGTAAAGTTACTTTTTGCGTCCTATGATTCAGAATGATGATTCAGTCAGCAGCCCGTACTTTGAAAAAGACCAAAGCTATGATCTGTGATGAAAGAAAAACTGGGAAAGTGGTAACATGATAAGAAATGTAATGGATGAATGCTTAATTTCATCATACAGCAAGGATTTCTGCATCAATCCTGCAGCACAAACGTGAGGTAATGGAGGAACAATGGCATTACAAGTGCTCAATTACAGCTCAATTACAGCGCTGACTGCGCAACCAAAGCTCAGCTGAAAGTAGATTAGATTAGACAGAATTGTAGTTTGTAAGGACAACAGAAGGGAACACGCTCATTGTTTTTCTCCTGATTGGAAGCAGACACCACATGTCCCAGAGTGATTACCTGGAACTTTGATCTCTGGCCCACAGATCACCACACACCAAAACCTAAACGGTTTCTGCTGAAAATCACACAGCTGCTGGAGCTCGAGCGGTGTGTGTCGGAGGAATCCCGAGTTGCTCTGACATTACCACTCACTGGATGGTTTTCATGCTTTTCTTCCTATCAAAGAGTTCAGTGCTCCATGATAACACACCCATCATCATATGTGGTAACACAAATACACACACACATTCTCTTGATACTTGCAGTCTCTAATCACCGTGTTATTTTGATTCCACTGTTATGAATGTACCCATTGGTATTATGTTGTGGTATTTGTGGGAAAACACAAGAAAAGAAAGTTCCTGTATAGTTTTACAGATGTTTTCTGGTGAATACTTTCATTTCTCCCGAGTTAATCAGGATCGTAAACACAGTTTTCTTTTCCCTTTCTCAACATCTGTTATAAATCTGTAACTTTATGTTGACGTGACCTTTAATGGAAAGATAAGAAGCCAATTTGTGTCTTACCTTCTGCAGCCACTGTGTGTTGTTCTCCATCGTGCTCTCCAGGTGTTGCAGTTTCTGAGCCGACCATTCGCTGTCAGCAGGCGGCGAGTCTCTCTGAACGACACCCGGCCCGCCCTGAAAGCCACCATAGTGTTGCGTCTGTGATGGCGACCCTCCACCGGGGCATCCGTCCAGCTCTGGCAGGATGAAGGTGTAGCTGCACTGGCCGTGCTGGATGCGGTGCAACTTCCTCCTTTTCTCGCCGGCGCCGCCACCACTTCCTCCTCTCCTTCTTCCAGATACTCCTCGTTCTGCGCTGCCTGCATCAATGACAGCTGACAAAGTCCAAAGGAGCAGAAGGACCAGCAACCCCCGGCTGAGACTTAAGCCTTTCATGACACTCTCTTTAATTATATGAAATTGTTTATTTCTCAGTGCAGAAGAGGGTCAAAGGAAGCTCATTCACACTCTGACCCCGATTAAGTTTAGGAAAACGTCTGTGTGCAGGATATGAACAAGAGTGTCAGCACAGTCTGTCGTTAGTTTGATCTCCTCTGTTTCAATCACAGTTTTTGGAAAAGAAAGCCGAAAGCATCTCTGGCCTCACACTGAATGGTCTCCTTCATTTGTGGTGACGATGTCCAAGGATTCCTCCCTCCTCTGTCTTCGTTGTTTGGTCGTAATCGTGTTTTCTGAGGCCGGGTTCTTCAAGGTAATAAAGACTTTTTAGGGCTCATATATTAGCTCAACTGATCAGCTGTTGCATGTTTTTTCCTTAAGGTATCAGGTGCAGATCCAGATCCACTCTGCAAAAAAAATGGAAGAACCCAAAGCTACAAATTTAAAAGCAGAAGTAATGTGAAGATGATGAGCAGTTGTGTCCAAACAGTCTGTGAAGCTGAAGAGCTAAATATCTTTGTACTCCCACTCTTCTCTGGTGGCTCCAGTTTTAGAAGTGGCTGAAGGGAATTGCCTCTGCCCCCTTCTTATCTGCGCTGGCTGAGAAGAGGAGGAATGAGAGAGAGAAGAGGGGAGAGAGGAGGGGGGAGAGAGAGAAAGGACGGAGGAGGAGAGGGAGGAGTGGACGGACAGGAGACCTGAGGGAGGTCTGTTAGAGTACCCTCTCTCTGTTAGTGGGCTGAGACGAAATGAAAGGAGGAAGGGAGGAAAGAGTGAGAAGTAGCCAGAAAAGAAGAAGAAATGTGAAGATTAAGGGAGTGAAAAAGAGTCAGATAAGGAATACAAATGCTGAGAAAGACAAAGTTTGAAAAGAAACTTAACTGCTGACAGACAGAGAAAAGACACTGAGAAAGAACGTGATAGAAGAAGAAAGAGAGATCTAAAAGAGGCTCCTGTAATCTTCTTTCCTGACTGATCTCTCAGTTCTGAAGAAAATCCTGATGCCTTGTATGGTCATTCAAACGGAGCTGGCAGCCAGAGACATTTCACTTTGTCCACTAAACACAACCATGCTCAGGGGCATCGTGGGACATCAGGAGGCCAAGGAAACCCACGCAGTCTACGTACTTAAAGCTGAAACGCTCTCTCAGTTGCAGGATGTACCTCCTCAACGCCTCTCATCTGTCCACATGGAACCACATACAAAGATTAGTTCCAGACTGATGGCTTTGTCCCCGGATGATGAAACACAAGCTCTACATGTGGCGGGACAATGTGCGCTGTCAGTTACAGAGTTTATTTGCACAGTGACAAACTGTTTTGCAGAACGCAGATAAAATTCTTTGATACGAGCCACGAGACAAACAGATTTCTGCGAGAGAATGAAGCCTCCAAAACAGGTTTAGAATGGCAGCTCAGCGTTAGACTATCAAAGATTGAATGATTCTGTTTTTTGAAGACTGTGTTTCTGCAAAGATAAAGAGCTGCTCCCAACATCTTACCACCGACAAGTTATTTATTTTGACATAAAGCAGTCCTATTTTCAGCCCGGCCTGACCCTGAGCCTGGTGCACAGAGCTGCACAACATAGAAGAGTCCTCTAATTGCATCATTTCTGTTTATGTTTTAAGAGGAAAATGTTTTTTATTGTGGGATTGTTTCGGTCTCACTTATTCTCATTCTTTTATTTCATCTGCTTTTCTGTCTGCTCATGTATGGTACAGGTTTTTGTTACGTTCTCATTTATTCATGGACAGATTTTGTTTATTTGTGATGAACTCTGACCCAAACAAAGCTGTAAAAAATGCTAATGGTTGATGAATACCCCTGAAAAGCATGATGTTTCATATAATCCTTATATTATCCTCAATATGTGGTGTGATCGCAGTCAGTGAAAAATAATAGAGATACATACTGTCCTGCCACTAAATTGCTCTTGCTTTCAGTTTAATATTAAATAATAAACTAAGTTATTAGAGAGGAAGTACTGTGGCGGTTTATTCAGAACATGCAAATCTGAGAATTAGCACATCTGCACAACCCTGATTGTTTTTTTCTTTCGTGTCACTTGTATTGATCAGAGTTTGGTGCTACACTTGCTAACTGATTTTCTGTCTCACTATCTGCTCCAAACAGTACGTCTTATCACATACTGATTAGATCTTTTAATCAATGTAAACACTGTGGACACTGATCTTTACTTAACCCTCATCCTATGTGAGACCGAATGAATAGTGGCATTGTAAAGCGCTTTGGGTGCCTTGAAAAGCGCTATATAAATCCAATCCATTATTATTATTATTATTGACATATTTTACATACATACTGGACCACAGACTGGGTTTACTCAGGACCCCAAGAATAATTGACTGTGAGACACAATCATAATAGAAAAATAAAAATGATAGCACATCTCATTTTTTCTTAAAGTTATGTAATGCCATCTTTCATTATTATTATTATTATTACAAAGTTACTATTCATTTGCATATGTCATAAAAGTATAATCTAAACTTTTCTATAATACAATTTGCAGCTTCTATCCCATCTACAGTCCATTTTATTACTTAAACTTTGACTCTTAGTTTGCAGAAATTTCAAGTAAACATTATTTGTTGGAGTTATTTGATGAAACCTGTTCACGGGTCATTTTAACCACAGTATAAAATAACTGAAACAAACACACAACCAGACAGCCCAGAGATCTAATCTCTCCCGCATGTCCTGGGTCTGCCCTGGGGCCTCCCCACCTCCTTACCTCCTCCCACTGCCCCTGTCCAAAACGTTTCACCCTGAAGGCTTTCTCGTCCCCTCGGCTGGCTTCTTTGGCTTCGTCCCTCCCAAATGACCAAACTCCTCACCTTATCTCTTTCTTTTCTTTTTTTTTTTTTGCCTGTCCCATTTGGCTCTTTAGCCGTCAGAATTGTTGTCTGAAGACCAACAAGGATACCCAATGGATTTACTTTGCCAAATGGATCATCACGGCCATGCCGTATTAGTCCATTTGATCGACCTTTGTTGTTATTATTTATTTTATTTTATTTTATTTTCAGTTGTTACAGACGGGACAGACATGACTGAGGGATAGGAAAGGGAGAAAGAAAGATGAAGGAAAAGAAAAACAGAAGGGGAGAGGGACAGTGAGAGAGGGCACTATTTTTTCAATCACTACCTGGAGATCATAAAATCTTTGTGATCAGCTCTGTCTTCACCAGCACACCGGTACAGTGTTCATGTTACTGTAGATGCTACACCAATCCATCTGTCAATCTCTCACTCCACTCTCCCTTCACTTGGGTGCAAGACCTTAAACAGGCACTTAAGCAAGTACTTAAACTCAGAAACTTGGGGAAACGACTCATCCCTGAACAGAAGTGGGCACTCCATCCTTTTCCAGCTGAGGACCATTTCTCATCCCAGCCATTTGATACTCAGTTGCAAACCACCCCACTGCAAGTTGGAGGTCGTCTTTTGATGAAGCCAACACAACCATCATTTGCAAAAAAAGCAGAGATAAGACCCTGAGACCACTGAACCCTCCAAACCTTGGCTGAGCCTAGAAACTCTGCCCATAAATATTGTGACTAGAGTCGGTGACAGAGGGCAGCCCCGTCTGCCCAGACTGACTTATTACCGGCGGTGCAAACTAAGCTCTCACTGTGGCCGTACACGGAACAGAACTGACTGAAAACAACTGAGATAATCAGACACAACAGTCAATTATAGCATCCAGTTTACCTCATGCAATACTCGGTGACATGGTGGCATGTTACATGCAGAGCAGCCAGGCTTCATGTTTATGATTCAGATGCAAAGGTAAAATCTCTCCAGCTCTCCTTTTTGTGTGTGGCATGACCAGGGCATGCCCCAGCTCCCTCAGGTACAGTAAATCCAGTCATATGCCCAACGTTCTAATAACCTCCAGTTTGAGAAGTTCCATATTCAGATGGTGAAGGCAGCAATGGCAGCTTTTCTTCTTTAAAATGACAGTGTCCCAATCCACCCTGACTGTGTCGTTATGTCTTTATGTTTAGGAGCCATTGTAAATATAAGATCTCCAGTGTGGTTTTGTTTCCTCCTTTGCTTCAAATCACGGTGGAAGAGCCTTAGAACCAGAGAAATCAGTCTGTACATGGTCTTTTATTTTGAAAATTCACCAGCGTGTTTGAGCTAATACTCTGCTAAACTTCCTCCCCTGATCTCTTCAGCTTCACGCTGAACAATAGGCTTGGGCATTTTTACTGATTCAGAAAGCCAAGCAGCTTTTCTGAGCCTTCCAAAATCAGCAGCTTATTCTGTGAGCAGGGGAAAACTTCCAAGGGGAAGTGTCTACAAAGCTTACCCTGTAGGAATTAGAAAAAAGTTGAGAAGAAGTAAAACTAAACAGGAAACTTGAGAACCAAAGATTACAAAATAAAACAGGAAATGAAAGGACAGCAGCCAATACAAAATTTTCGGATAAAACAAAGGTTACTTTATGCATCTTTTGTTCTGGAAAAACTGTTTCTCATTATTTTAACAACGTTAAAGAAGTAGACATGGATGTCATGACGCAACTACAAAGCCTCCCTCGGTGAATAAGTAAACTAAATTTGATGAGTCAGCTTGGAAGGTTGTTCCTCACTGTCAGTGGAAAATTTGTCAAGTTACTGAAATCAGATCATATCTCATACAGGCAACTTTTGTGGAGCCAGTAAATCTTGGGGAGAAGATTGGAACAACATGCTATAAGATACTCCTGTCCTGTCCAACTCTGGGTCGTGCTGGTACTCGTCTGGACTTTTTTCAGGCTGATATCAGAGGCAGCAGAGGGCACATGACTCATGAACCAGCCCTTTCACCTTCTCTCTGTGGGGACGGATGGAGAAATGAGATCTTTCCAGTCTCCTTTTTGTCCCTTTTATAAACTTCATGTTTATCTTTATTTGTTGGTCTGGCTTCTTTGGATGCATGAAGTTTGGTAGTTTAGTCATGTTGTCGCAGCTTTCATGACTGAGTGTTTCCGACTCTCTGATGATGTTTGTCAGAGACCGATTGGGCCAAAAATGAAGACTTTGTGTATCTAATCTATATTGGGACAAAACCATAATGCTGTTTCCATTACATGTTTGAGAAGAAACAGCGATAATCTTTATTTTTGTCTAATGTAGTTTGACTTCTTCACCATGAACTCAGTCGCATCACACGTTTAATGCTTTGTTTTGATTTTACTTGATGTACTTTTAAATATCTCACATCATTTAGTTATGTTATTTCCCATCCATTTATCGAGCCAGAAAAGATTACTAGAGATAAAGCGACAGAGGGGCAAATGAAAACTGGACAAAATAAGGAGAGCCGTGGAGACAAAAAGATTCATTGAAACACAGATTCAGGCAAACAGAGACAGAAAAGAAGGAGAGCGGAGGATTTCCTGTCTCGAGGTTTCAGACGATGAGTCTGTGAGAGAATAGGCATCCTGCCGCTTGTGAAGTTTTACTACGATCTGGAGGATCATTCACTGCCCAACAGAGAAGAGAACAGACAAATATGACGTGCATTTCACATTTGCACTGAATGATTAAATATTCTGTGTATTTCTGCATGTTTAACAGCCAAAGAATT